TGCTGCGCTGCTGGTGCCGCTTGCGGAGCTTGTAGAAGACGATGAGCATGGCGGCGGCCAGCAGCGTCACCGCCACGAAGCAGCCGATGATGATCTTGGTGGTGCGCATGACCTCGTCCAGGCTGGTCTGCGTCTTGTCGCCCGCCTCGGCCGTGGGCCCCGCCAAACGCCCCGGCGGCCCACGGGCTTGGTGAACTTGGGCGAGACGTCCTCCGGGGAGATCTCGGTGGTCTCCACCGTGACGGTGGTGAAGAAGCTGTAGTTGGAGGTGTTGAGCTCGGCCGTGCTCACGTTGAGGTAGGCCGAGGCGTTGGAGTTGCCCGCCACGTTGGTCACCATGCACGTGTAGAGGCCCGTGTCCGTGAGCAGCACGTGGGAGAAGTTGAGCGTGCCGTCGTTGAGCACGGAGATGCGCGGGTGGCTCGACGCGTGGCTCAGCACCGTCCCGTTGGGCAGCAGCCACCGCACGGAGGACATGGAAGGAGTCCGGCACTTGAGCTCGGCCACCCGCCCCTCGGAGATGTTGAGGTCCATGGGGGCGTCCATGATGAAGGGCGCCGAGCACTGGAAGGAGGTCTGGTCCACCTCCACCAGGAACTTGCCCCGCATGTGCAGGGGCGCGTGGCAGCGGCCGCAGCAGCTGGAGTTGGTGGGGATGTACTCGCGGAGCCACCACGAGAGCCACAGGATGTCGCAGTCGCAGTGCCAGGGGTTGTGGTGCAGGTGCAGCTCCACCAGGTACCGCAGCGGCGCGAACAGGTCGTGGGGCAGCGACGAGAGGTTGTTGTGGGCCAGGTTGAGCTCCACCAGCGCCGCGAGGTCGTCGAAGGCGTTGCGCTCGATGGCGCTGATCTGCGAGTTCATGATCCAGAGCTTCTTGAGGGACTTGAGCCCGTGGAAAGAGCCCGGCTTGATCTCGGGGAAGTGGTTCCCCGACATCTCCAGTTCCTCGAGCCCCACGAGGGGCGTGAGGTTCGGCATGTCCTTAATGTTGCACATGCCCAGGTTAAGGTACTTGAGGTTGTAGAGCCCCTCGAAGGCCCCCTCGGAGATGTACTCCAGCTTCTTGAGCTCGCCCAGGTCGAGGCGCATGAGCGAGGGCACGCGGTTGAAGGCGTACGAGGGGATGCTCTCGATGGGGTTGTTCCTCAGCCACAGCTCGCGCAGCTTGGACAGGTACTCGAAGGCGCCGCTGGGGATGACCGTGAGCCAGTTGTCGAAGAGCTCCAGCGTGTTGAGGCTGGCGAGCCCGTTGAAGGCGCCCACCTCGATCTGGCGGATGGCGTTCCTGCCCAGCTGCAGCACCTCCAGGTGGTGCAGGTGCCGGAAGGTGTCCGCCTGGATCAGCTGGATGTTGTTCTCCATGAGGTTGAGGTACCGCGTGTTGGAGGGGATGCCGGGCGGCACGGCGGCCAGCCCGCGGCGCGTGCACACCACTT